ACACGCACACAGACACACACACTCCTACAACCCAACTTAGCTTCAAGTTACGCACGAACTCTGAGGTCCTATTAGGTTACTGTGACTATGGTGACAGAGCAAACATGGGTATGTGTTGCAAAACTTCTAACACGCTGCTATCCAACTAACCATAACCGCAGCTGGTTTTGCATTATTGAATCACATGCAGTGGCCCTCATCATGAAAAAGCTACTCCATTAGCAATGATAAATAATTGGGTCTCATTAATTCTCTTCAGGTCTGCACAATTTATCGAGCACTGAATCACCCACGTCTCTGCATCACTGGGGTGCTCTTCTCCATGGAAGAGCTTCTGCTTCACCTCCTCTTCACCAAGGACAAGTGGGGCACATCACAAGCTCTGGCAGTGCCACCATCCCACAAGGCTGCTCCACCATGATACACGCGGTTTAGGGGTAGGACAGGGGTTATCCCCTAGCACTGACTGCGAGCAAGGGTGACCAAGAGCATCAATTTGGTGGCCAACGCACACTTGCCAGAAATGCCACCCATACAGACCACGGACCTCTTCATCATGACTATTTTAGGCTGCTTTTGGGGAGAAGATGAAGAGCAAACCATTCATCTGAAAATGGCATTTAACTAGTAACTCCATAAATCTGTTGCCTGATTTTCAGAAGAGCTGAAAAGCTACAGCTTCAGATGACAACAGCTTCAGATGACATGACTTTGAAATGCAAATGAAAAACAGGACCATCCACCCTTACCAACTTAGTGCATCCATTCTGCCACGTGACACCACTGTGAAACCTGCTCTGGACTTTGGTTTTCAGCAGCTTACTGTGTAATCTCAGTTTCTACTACCGGAAGTATGAAAACAGACATGAGGGTCCAAATAAGAACATCTTCCATTTTTATCAAGTGAGTTTTATACCAGAATGAAATCTACCCAAGATACCTGCACAATATTCCTGATTTGAAATCTTTAGGTCAATACGGCTTTTTAAGTAATCACAGAGCAAAGCACCTAACAAAACAGCAATTTCAACCAAAACGGAAGAAATTTAAGTAGCAAACACAGACTTATGTTTTTGTCCAGCCAAAACCTAAACATCATCTTAAAACTGCATTTTCAGACTCTAGGAGTTTATAAAGCTTATGAATGCCACCAAACGTCAGATTCTTTATCCATGGCAAGATAAAACCCAACAGAATTTACACCACCTAGTCCACTTTAGAAACACCTCTTGATCAGAATAAATGCCCTGGTCGGCATCCCCACCCACCAGCAGAGGGAAGCAGGAATCATAGGCCAGAGTAAGGAACACGGAAGGGTTTCAGGACAATCATGCTGAACGCATTTCCAGACAAACAGAGTCCACTATGTGTGCAGAGACACCCTTGTCTCTACAAATAGAACATTTTTGAACATATAAACCCACATTAATTCATTAAAAGAAAAGTCCATATTGGTATCACTTTCACATCTGTTATATGCTGCTAACTTTTAAGGAAATTTGCATTAATATAGTTACAAATTATTCCTCATGCAATTTTCCCCTTTTCTAATTTGGAGAGATATGGGAACATACATTTGGAAAAGATCAACTCATTCACAAAGTTAAGTCATTTGCTGAATCAGGATTTATTAACTTTTTTCTCTACAAAGCAATCCCATATTTGGGCATAACTGCATTTCTGAATCACCTTCTTACATCATTTCTTTTATTTTAAAAGTATACACTTTTCTTCTTGAAAGCCCTTAAATCTGCACTTTGACTTCTGCAATCCCTTGCAAAGGCCCTGAGTCACACCAAACTTCCCTGAAGAAGGAACTCGACTTCTCCCAAACTCACGAAGGCCACCCTGAACATCAGGTAAGGCAGGATCACTGATAGCACAGCTTCAGCAGCATTCAGAGATGAAGGAACGCATGTTTATCCTCCGTGTTGAGGATGGCTACCTGTACATTAACAGTGGCCACACACCTACCTTTCTTTCCTATGTTTCTGATTCCTGCAGGGAAATTTGTAAACTCCATAAAGCAGACATTCTGCAGAAGCGACGGGTAAAATATACATTAAACACAAGATACAGGTTTGCAACACACCTCGACATTCAGAATCCATAAGGGACAGGAGAGGCTGAAATTCAGTGCAGAGTTGCACTGAATCAGCATATCCAAAAATCTGAATACCTGAACTGCACTTCAAGTGCCCATGTTTCTTGCCTTGGGTCTAGCCCCAAGGATCTTTGTAAACTGAGTTCTGTACCATTGTAACTGAAACTAGCCAAAACACTTGGCCACAAAGTTGTCTGTAAAAACGTTAAAAAAATGCTTTACATTCCAACACAAGCTACTGTGCCACCAGCAGCCATCACAAGCTGCAAGATGAACCAGGTAACATAACTTAAAATACATTCAGTTTAGGTTAAGCATAACTGCTATAGATTTTATAGATCTCATACCAAAGGAGCACTTGCTACGCATGCTGTTACTCACTGAACAACTGCAATCATAGGTTTATTCTGTCCTCAGCTAAAGTTTTTGCTGGTCTTTGATTGTGATTGCTGTTCAAACAGGGCAAGTGGGGTTACTTGCTTTAAGATGCTAGCCCCCCACCAACATCTTTGTTGCTCTGACGTAGTGTCACAACGAAAATACCTCAAGCTGCTCAAAATATTTCTGAAAATTAACTTAGTGCTTCAACTTCTGGTTTTCACTGGTATTTTAATAAAAGTAAAGAGAAGCAGGAGGCAGAGAGTGGGATGCTTGTTGCTAGGTGATACCTAGCTCTCCTGAACTCCTACAGACTGAAATATTTATCCAGACTCCCACGAAGAATGACATCTAGCACAGAGAAAGAAGAGACACACGCACTTACTGAAGTACATCATGATTCAAGGTAAGCAGCAGCAGCTGTGCCACCAGCTCGGTCCCTGGGGTACCTAAGCTGAGGAGGTTGCAGTCTGGGGTGGGGTGGGGTGGGTGATGCAGCTCCCCCTGAATGTCTACCCTGATTTCAGCTGAGCCTCATGGGGCGATGCCTCCAACGCTTTTATGCCAAACCAGAACAATCTAAATGCCATTGGGCTCTTGGCATTGCAAGAAAATGCATCCTTCGCTCACCTGACTGTATATAGCTCTGTTGGTTTTCTGTTGTTTGAGGTTTTTTTCCTCAACTCATTCTACTCGGATAACAGGTTTCCATAGAAGAAAGTACGCAGCTGGCCAGATGTGGATGAGAAATTCATTAACTTAACACGCAACCTTTGTGCCATGCTCCACCCCCCTCCTCCCTTTAAAACGTTTATTCAATGATTAAACTTTCAAGGAGTGCTTACGCAGTCTTTCCATAGAGACTTAAAGGAAT